CCGACTGCAGGACAGCCGGGTCCCCCAGGTGCCCTTCCCATCACTATTCATGCTGCTGGACTTTTCCCTTTGGATCCCGTCTCCTCCCGATCCTGGGCCGCTTTCTCTCAGAACTTTCTATTTAACCTACATCGTCAGCTTGGCTTTTGCCAAAAGTAGCATTGTCAGGTTTTCAGGAGCGGCTCAGGTAAAAAGTAACAAGAAGAGTTTCCGCTAACTTGACATTTTACATCCAGTTCTAGCTCCTGAAATTCCCCTCTGCATGGTAAGCTAGGCAGCACTGTCTTGATGTTAAGTTAGTTTTTGTTCAACTGTTAAAACAACGTCCTCAGCATCACTTCCCACAGAAAATTAATTTCATTTGCTCCACCTGAAAACTAACAAAGAGGGGAGGTTGAAGTCTGTCCCCAAACGAAATACAAAGAACCGGCACTTCGGATGGGCAAACCGCGGAGAGCTGGCCCCTGGACGTCCATGTGCGCCTTCCCATATGCCACTAGGAAGGAGTCTGAAAAATAAGGAAACGTAGCGAGAACAGGCAAGGCTACAACATGTATTATCAGACATCTCAGTTCGGTTTTCAAAGTCTCATCTTCGGGCCAGCAGGTGGCACAGAGGCTAAGGTACTGGATTCCACACGGCCAATTCCAGTTTGAATCCCAGACCTGGCCTGAAAATCCTGCCAGGCACATGTGTGTGCACCCAGAATCCCTAGAGGACACTGGATAAGGGACTACAGCATGGCCATCCTCCCTGAGGGTGACTCCTCACTTTCCCTCTCTGTCTCTCTTTGGTAAGCAAAAAAAGTCTCATCCTCAGCTTTGTCTCCCTGGCATTACAGATTTTTTAATCATTCCTTTAAAAGATATTAATCCATTAACAGTTTTTGGCATAAATAGCTTACATACTATGTCAAAATTAACACCCCATTCGTGGCTATTCCCAATTCCCCAAGGCACCTACTTTTCCAAGGTTAGGTTCAAACCTACTTCAGTGTGAATCACAACTGACTCCTTAAGCATGAACTCTCGGGACCAGCAGTTAGCGTAATGGCTATGTCGCTGGACTCCCACGTAGTCGACCGCGGTTCGCGTCCCGGACCCGGTGGCTTAGAACTCACGCCGGGCGCATGTGCGTGCGTGCCCAAGATCCCGAGAGGAGAATGGAGGAGAAGGGATTGTGGCGTGACCATCCCCCCCGGGGGGTGATTTCTCGCTTTCTGTCTCTCTGTCTCTCTCTCTGTCTGTCTGGCGAGCGCACGCGCCCTATAGCAAAACCCTCTCCCAAAAAAAAAAAAAAAAGGCATGAACTCTCCTGTACTGTTTTCTCTCCAACAGAATTTCTAAGACTAAAGATAAGAGACCTTTACTGATGTCTTGTCACCCACGTCAGCAGCACCTCACTCAGCAGTTGCTCACTAGTACTTACTTTATTTCAGCAGATTCTTTTTTTAAGAGATTTTTGCTATAGGGTACGTCCGCTTGTCGGAGAGAGAGAAATACTGAGACAGACAGTGAGAAATCACCCCCAGCGAGGGATGGTCACACTGTGACCCCTTCTCCATTCCTCTCAGGATTTGGGGCATGCGCGCTCACATGCCCGGTGTGAGTTTCAAGCTGCTGGGTCCAGGATTCAAACCACAGTCGGCTATGTGGGAGTCCAACACCTTAACCACTGTGCCACCTGCTGGCCACTATTCTTGTAGTTTCCATTAACTTTTTTTTCTTTTTATTTATTTATTTATTTATTTATTTTTAATTTGCTATAGGACACACGTGAGAGAGAGGCAAAATGAGAAAGCAAGCCACCAAGTCCGGGACTCCAACCACAGTCAGCAATGTGGGAGTCCAGCACTTGAACCGCCATGCCACCTGCTGGTCCCCAGTATATTCTTTTAAGTCACAGTTAATCAGGACCACGCGACCTTAATGATCATTTAGCCAATTCTTTCTTTTATATCTTGCTTATATGAATTATTTTTGATTCTCAAAATTCTACCATTTACTTCTCTTAGAATTTTTTACATAATTTCAAGGCTTTAGAGAATCCACTTAATAAAGGCTACATTTAAGGATTATACTGGGGGGACAGCAGGTGGTGGTTAGGGTGCTAGACCCCACGGCCGACTCTGCGTTTTGAATACCAGACCCAGCAGCCTGAAAACACATCAGGTGTGTCTGGGGTGCCCAAAATCCCAAGAGGAGAATATGGCAGCAGGGGATGTACATGGCCATCTCCCCTCGTGGGGAGATGTGATTTTTCCCTCTCTGTCTCTTTCTTCAGCAAACACATACGCCTTTTGGCAAGAAAAAAAAAAGTCTTTAAAACAAAAACAATAACATACTGGGCTAGCTTCTTGGAGTAGCAGGAATTTGCTGCCCAGCTCACGAGAAGCTGGGTCCTACATGGTCACTGCGGTGTGAATCCCCCGCTGGGTCAGCCTGAAACACACCAATGGGCTAGAGGGCTGGAGGAACAGGGCTGTGGGACGGCCAGGCGTGTGGGGCTCCGCCTCTCCCTCTCACTTACTCCCACACAGACGCGTGCATATACACATTCCCATGATAAGGAAAAGAGGAAGAACAGGGTAATGTTAGCAGTGACCACGCGGAGACACCAATACTACCGCAGCAAACCAAGCTAACCAGCAGGAGCCTGGGAGACAGCAGTGTCCACAGGAGCTGGGTTATGAAAGGAAAATAAAATCTAAAAATCCTGTCTCTTCTCAACTGGACTCGACTTATGGTTCAAGAATGAATATATACTTTCTGCCACACAGAAATCTTGGCTGTCCGTATTATGAACACAGCCAAAGAAACATTCGTGAGAAACACGGGAGACACGGGAGAAGACCAGACGTACTAAATCATGGAGGGGAAGGCGGGCAGATAAAATCACACAGGGTCAGGGGGGACAAAGGGCCAAGGCTAAGTCGCTTCCCATTCCCAAGCACAGGGGACCCAGACATCAAAGAGGCGGCAATCTTGTTTCAGCATTTGGGAGCCCTTAAGTCCCGGACACTCTGACAGTATCAGGACCCTACATTCAAAAAGCTTATCGTCTAGTCGGGAAGATCTGCATACACATGCTCACACACGTGACACACCGGGCCAGCTGGTGGTCACAGCACCTGGACCCCACGTGGCCAGCTGCGCGGTTCAAGTCCCAGATCGGGCAGCTTGTAAAACACCGAGGCATGTGTATGTGCATGCCCCAAGTCCGGAGGAGAACACGGGAAGGCTGTGGCATGGCCATCCTCCCTGGGGCATGCTCTCTCACTTTCTCCCTCCCCCTCTCTAGTGAGTGCTTGTGTCCTATAGTACACTTTTTAACTTCTCCTAAAAGAAGGACATAACACTAGTACGCATTGCTTACTGTGCACTAAACGCTTCCATGGCTATTCCAGGCTACATAGACTGGGTCGCTGGGAAAGTCAAGACGCATTTTCGCAAGAAAAACACGAGTAAATAGTCATGACTTTTCTGACAGCCCAGTATTAATTTATTCCCATATGGTTGGGCTATTAATATCCCAACTGTGCAGACGTGGCACAGAGAAGTTTAAGGTACCCTGGGACACACAATTAGCTAGTAAACAAATCAGAACAGAGACGCGCAGGGCCAGCCAGATGGCATGCTAGTTAGGGAGGCTGGACCCCTCATGGCCACTGTGCATTTCGAGTGCTGGACTCCAGGTGGGTGTGCATGTATGCCCCAAATCCCAAGAGGAGAGTAAGAAGGGACTGCCACAGGGCCATCCCCACTGGGGGACGCTTTCTCACTTGCTCTCTCCCCTGTCCCTCCCTGTCTCTCTCCAGTGAGTGTGTCCTACAGTGGAAACTTGTAAAAAAAGAAAAGAGAGACCCAGGCAGTGGTTGGATGATAAGGAACCCTATGCCTTTGCTAAAGGGTCTGAACTTACCCTGACTGGTGATTCCTACATACACCTACCGCCCCTCTGCCCCTCAGAGCAGGGGAAGGGGAGAGGGCACCTCCACTGTAAGCCCTTACTACTGCTAAGGCGAAGGCGAAGGTGAGCTATCCTCTCAGGTGTCCGGTTAAATAAAAGGTGCACTGCTGTTATAGAAGTGCTGAGGAATTAGTAGACTAAAGGGCAGTGGCAGACAACTCCAAAAACGCGTTGTAAGGAAGGAAACGTGGCTGTGGGTCTAGTCACACTGCTGCGGAGGCCACTGTCCCCGGTCCTAGCTCGGCAGGTGGGCTCAATACCCCATTACAGCCCCTGCATCGCTCCTAGCACTGCCACCAAGTTTGCAATTTCCCATACATGCTCTGTGCTTGAGTGTAAGTAAGTTTTCTGCTACAAACTCAGATACCTCTTGGTAGAAGTAACAGCTTAGCCATTCCGGACAACCGCAGCCTCTGCCCCCTCCTGCTTTCAAAATAACTAAATATAAGTGTATTTTCTCCTATTTGCATTTCCCACACATAGGTTTTTGGGGAAAAGCAAGAATATCCTTGACTATCTTTTACCTGTTCATTTTTTTCCTTTTGGACGACTAACCTGGTCTGTATCAATGCAAAGCTTTGCCTTCGCTGAATCACAGGGCACAGAAAACATTCCACCTCTCATTTCACGAATGAAAACAATAAGGCTTGGACAGGGACAGGGAAGACCAACTGCCCAGTAAGCCAGCCGATGAGGACAAAACCGTGACATGAACCTGGTTCCCTGCCACCAAGCCCAGTGAGAAAGGCCCACAAGGAGCGGTGAGCGGCGAGCCGGTGACTTCACAGCACAAGTGTGGGAACCGGGAGGGGTCCGCGAGCCGCTCCACTTTGGGAAAGAAGCGAGCGCCTTCTCACTGGGTCAGAGGCACAGTCAGCAGGGCACTGGCTCTTCAGCACTGACCTCTTCCTCTCCGATTCCGGTGACGGACACCACCCACTCCATGGTCACCGTGCGGCTCTTACTCGACAGTGGTGCCAACAGCACACTCAGGAGAACCCACGTTCCAAGTCCCCACACAACCATTCTGGTTTCTTCACTTTGTTTTTAATTTCGATCTCAAATTCTGAACAGAGCCAAATAAACGTAGATGAAAAATACAGTAGATAATGGAAAGGCTAGCGGCACTGAAGAACTGAGGGGAAGGGGAGTAGGTAAATCACAAAGGGTTCTGGAGCCTGAAAGCTAGATAAAAACAGGACAAAGGACCAGGGTTTGAGATCCACCATCAGCATGTACGGTTTCCGATTTCCTTAGACGGGACGGCCAAGAAGAGGCGGCACCGTGCTCACCTGAGGGAGACGTGGGGCTTGTCACAACACAGACCTCTCCCTCCATAGCTCCATTCCATCGTATATGGGGCGCGTGTGCCTGGCATGCTTTTCAAGCCACCGAGCCTAGGATTTGAACCATGGCCGGCATGTGGGAACTGGCTTTCTATGCAGTGCTGAAGCCCGTTTTTCACTTTCACTACAGTAGTCAGTTCATTAAAAACGTTATTCACCCCTTTATTATGAAGCAGGCTTTGGGTTAAGACGGCTTTGCCCAACTGTAAGCTAATGTTAAGTGTCCTGAGCATGGCTAAGACAGGCTAAGCTATAATGTTCAGAAGGTTAGGTATATTAAATGCATTTTCAGGCTGATCCCATGGATCCCACATGGCTGACGGCGGTTCGAATCCTAGGCCTGGAAGCTTGAAAAACACGCTGGGCATGTGTACCTGCATGCCTAAAATCCTGACCGGATGGAGAAATAGAGAAGGGACTGGGGATTGCAGTGTGACCACACCCCATGGGGGAGTGCTTTTCCCCTCTTCCTGTCTCTTGTGGCAAGAACACGCACTTTCTAGGGAAAAAGAAAAAAGAAATGCATTTCAACTTATGATACTTTCAACCTACAACAGGTGTATCAGGGTGTGACCCCACGGTAAGCTGAGGAGCATCTGTAACTTTATTTTCTAAGTCTTACTATACTGTCTAGAACCTTCAGTACAATTCTGAACAGATGCTGTACTGACAGTATCCTTGTCTGACTTCATGTTTAATTCTGCTTCTAAAGCATCGCCACTGGGCCGGCCAGTGGCATAGTAGTTAAAACACTGGATCCTACATGATCGACAGCAGTTCAAGTCCTAGACTCGGAGCCTTGTGTGCGTGTGAGCCCAAGGAGAAATGGAGGGGAAAGACTGCAGCATAACCGCCCTCCCCTCCCCTCCCCTCCCCTCCCCTCCCCTGGGGGGGGGGATGCTATCTCCCACCCCCTCCCTCTTTGGAGATCATACCTGATGCCCTCTGACAAATTTTTAAAGCAGTAAAAGTGCCACTACGAAATACCATTTTTCAGATTATTAGTGGATAGACTTTGAGTTTATAAAATTCTTTCCTGTTCCTAGCAGAGTATGATTTTTTTGAAATGATCTCTGATCCATCCTTTTCGCCCTCCTTCCTTAATTCCTATTTCAGGTTCCTTCCCACCTTGCACCTGGAAGGTCTATGTCTGCCACCAAAGTAACTGAGACGCTGATACTCCGGGGTTGGATATCTGTCTGCTGTTCCAGCTCCTGGGACCAAAATACTCCCCAAATTCTAAGACAAAATGTTCCCATCGTTTGCAAATCCTTTATTTCTCTCTCTTAAATACACCCTTTCTTTCCTTTAAAAACTCTGGAGAGAAAAAAAAAAAGGACAAAACAGTCTTGGAATCCTGTTCATTTCCAATATGTTGCCTAGTTCTGACCAAGCCTGGCTAATGTGGCTGGGAATCACAAGGATCTTAAAGGAGTTCTGAGAGGCATCTGCATCCAGATGTCTACAGCGTCTACACTCCCTGCGTAGCCAGTGAAAAATATTAGAGGAAAAGGAAAAGGGACCGGTAGTACTCTTAAGCCAAGCAGGTAGTTTCCACGATAAAACTGAAAAGACAAGGGGAAAATCAACCTGTGAAAGCCCAAGCCAGTTAGGAGTTCTTTCCCTCATCAATTCTTTCCAAACAAAAGGGCACAGAGCGTCTTTCCCGAGGCAGCGACACCGAGGGGAGCAGCCAAAATGTTGCATCATACGAAACACTCCGCGCTTGAGAAACAAGAAAACCAGATGGTGATCAAATACCCGGGGCAGGAAAGCCCAAGTTGGGAATCTCGGTCCTTTCCGGAGGCTCGGGAGCGTCTGCCTCCTGGTTCACTTTTTTAAAAGACTGCATCGAAAATTGAAGTTTCAGTTTCACACCAGCGCGGAGCTCGTTCTTTCCACGAGCGATCGAAGTTGGGGAGAAACTGACGGCCGGCTCGCGCCTGGCTCCGGCTGGGCGGACCGGAGGGCGAGGGCTGGGGCGGGCGGTGGCAGCAGCCGCGGCCCGGGACGCGCGGGGGC